TCCAATAGGGAAAATAAGAAAGAAAGACGTGATTCAAGGTCCCACAAATATTGGTGTAATACAAAAGGGTACAGTATTCTAAGATTGAGGAGAGCTGAGCAGGAGATCATTGAAGCAGAATATGACCCACCTGAGCTGAATGTAAGGGGAGAGCATGTTGACAGTACAGTGCCCCAGGGTCTACAGCCTTTTCTGGTTTTAAGCCCATTACCTGACCACTTTATGATTGATGAGCTTTGATTCAAACTGTTTACAGACACAGGCAGAACATGGACCTCTCATATATCAGCAAACTCAGAATGTATTTGTTAGAACCCTGGGTGGGTTGTGGTAATGTTGAACTATTCTGGAATGGTTTTTGGGTCCATCATTTGAGTCTAATTAGCTTCAGGCTAGTTATCATCACCTTAGGACACTTTTGTCGATTCTTCTTCCCTTGGGGAAGATGTGGTCAATGTTTTTTCCTTTTTCTATTAGGTAGAAGTAACACTAGTCATTTATTAACCCAAGTAGGACTTAGTCCTTACCCCCATTGCTTTGGTGCCTTCTTTTAGGATAAATCTTCTTGGCATTTTAACAAAGATATAGTATAGAAGTTATAGAGGATGAATGGACTCCTTTTCTGTAGAGAAATATAGAGAACAAGTAATACTAATTATTATTTTGAGATAAGGCACTTGAAATGGAAGCCTCTGATTTTCCACTACTTAGCAATTCCTTGCAAAAAGCTTTTTGCATCAACCCACTAATACTATTCTCTGCTAAATAGCAATAACTTCCTGGCAAAAAGCCAAAAGCTACCTCTTAGATTTTGTTCTTCTATAATGACCTTTAAATGAGACCTTTTGATGTAGTTGACCCACTCCCATTATTTTCATCTTTCCTAGAGATGTAAACTGTAACAGAAAAATGTAAAATGTGGTATGGGGTGTAAAAGTGTAGAGGTTTTGTATACAAGTGAAGTTGAGTTGTCATCATCTTAAAATAGGTATACCTATGAGATTTTTTATTTAAGCCTCATGGTAAATACAAAAGAAAGCCTATAGCAGCAACCTACAGAATGGGAGAAAATCTTTGCAATCTACCCATCTGACAAAGGGCTGCTATTCAGATTCTACAAAGAGCTTAAAAAAATTTTAAAGAAAAAAAACCCCATCAAAAAGTGGGCAAAGGATATGAACAGACACTTCTCAAAAGAAGACATTTATGCAGCCAACAGACATGAAAAAATGCTCATCATCACTGGTCATCAGAGAAATGCAAATCAAAACCACAATGTGATACCATCTCATAACAGTTAGAATGGCAAGCCTTAAAAAGTCAGGAAACAACAGATGCTGGAGAGGATGTGGAGAAATAGAAATGCTTTTACACTGTTGGTGGGAGTGTAAATTAGTTCAACCATTGTAGAAGACAGTGTGGCAATTCCTCAAGGATCTAGAACTAGAAATACCATTTGATCCAGCAATCCCACTACTGGGTATACACCCAAAGGGTTATAAATCATGCTACTATAAAGACACATGTACATGTATGTTTATTGTGGCACTATTCACAATAGCAAAGACTTGGAACCAACCCAAATGTCCATCACTAACAGACTGAATTAAGAAAATGTGGCACATATACACCATGGAATACTATGCAGCCATAAAAAAGGATGAGTTCATGTCCTTTGCTGGGACATGGATGAAGCTGAAAACCATTATTCTCAGCAAACTATCACAAGTACAGAAAACCAAACACCTCATGTTCTCACTCATAGGTGGGAGTTGAACAACGAGAACACACGGGCATAGGGTGGGGAATATCACACATTGGGACCTGTTGGGGAGTAAGGGGCTGTGGGAGGGATAGCATTAAGAGATATACCTAATGTAAATGATGAGTTGATGGCTGCAGCAAACCAACATGGCACATGTGTACCTACGTAACAAACTTTCACGCTGTGCACATGTACCCTAGAACTTAAAGTATAATAATAAAAAAACCAAAACACCAAAAAAAAAAAAAAGAAAACAAAAAAAGAAAACAAAAAAAAGAAAGCCTATAGCAGATATAAAAAAGATAAAAAAAATCAAAGCATATCACTACAAAAATTCAACACATCACAAAGGAAGCCAGAAAGATTGGAAGAACAAGGAAACTATAAAATGGTCAGTAAACAAATACTGAAATGGCAATACTAAGTCTTCATTTGTCAAACATTACCTTAAATGTAAATAGATTAAATTCTCCAATCAAAAGACAGAATGGTTGAATGAATAAACAAATAAGACCCAACTCTATGGAACCTGTAAGAGACTCACTTCACTTTTAAATACACTCAGACTAAAAGTGAAGGGATGGAAAAAGATATTCCATACAAAGGGAAACCAGAGCATGCATAGCTACCTTACATGTGTCAAGATAGACTTTAAGTAAAAAATCATAAGAAGAGACAAAGTAATTATGTAATGATAAAGGGGTCAATTCATCAAAAGGACATAACAATTGTAAATATATATGCACTCAACATTGGAGAACCGTATAAATATGTGCATATATATAATATTAATAGATATGAAAGAAGCAATAAACTGCAATTCAATAATAGTAGGCAACTCCAATATCCCACTTTCAGCAATGGGACAGATCATCCAGACAGAAAATCATTAAGGAAATTCTGGACTTGAACTAAACTGGAGACCTAATAGACCTAATATACAAATACAGAACATTTCATCCAGTAGCTGCAGAATACACATTCTTCCCAAGTGCTCCTGGAGCATTCTCCAGGATACATTATATATTAGGCTCCTCTCAAGCAAGTTGTGTTAGTCTTTTTTGTGCTGTAATAGAATACCAAAGACTGTGTAATTTATTGGCTTGAAGTTTTGGAAGCTGGGAAGTCTAAGATTGAGGAGTTGGCATCTGGCAAGGGTCTTACTGTTGTGTCATCTCATGGTGGAAGGGAGGGCAAAGAGATGGTGAGAGATAGCCAAAAGAGGACCAAACTCTCCCTTTTATAATGAACCGATTCCTTCAATGACAAACCCACTCCAGTGATAAAGGCATTAATCCATTCATGAGAGCAGAGACATCATGGATGACTCACTCTTAAAGGTCTTGCCTCTTAATATTGATACAATGGCAAGTAAATTTCAACATGATTTCGGAGGGGACAAACTTTCAAACCATAGCATTTATCCCACAGCCCCCCAAAACATATGTCCTCATGTAAAAAATGCAGTCATCCTATCCCTAGAGACCCCAAATCTTAATTTGTTCCAGCAACAGCTCAAAAGTCAAAAGTCCAGAGTATCATCTAAATCAGATATAGGCATGAGATTCAAGGCACGATTCATCCTGAGGTAAGTTTCCCTCCAGCTATGAGCCTGTGAAATCGAATAAGTTTTGTGCTTCCAAAATACAATGGTGTGACAGGCATAGGATAGACATTTTCATTCTAAAAGGGAGGAATAGCAACAAAGAAAAACTCAACTGGGTAAAGAATGTTAAATATCAAGTCTACATAATAATTTTGCTTGACTCCATGTTCCACCTCCTGGACACATTGGCATCCAGATAGGAAATCAACCCTAAAAGTAGAAAACCCCATAGACATGATGACATGATCCTATGTATAGAAAATCCAATAGATTCCACCAAAAAACTATTAGAACTAATAAGCAAATTCAGTAAGATTTCAAGGTTAAAAACCAACACGTGGTTGGGTGTGGTGGCTCACGTCTATAATCACAGCACTTTGGGAGGCCAAGGCAGGTGAATCACTTGAGGTCAGGAGATCGAGACCAGCCTGGCCAACATGGTGAAACATTGCCTCTACTAAAAATACAAAAATTAGCTGGGCATAGTGGCACACATCTGTAATCCCAGCTACTCAGGACGCTGAGGTATAAGGATCACTTGAAACTGGGAGGCAGAGATTGCAGTGAGCCAAGATCGTGCCACTGCATTCCAGCCTGGGTGACAGAACAAGACTCTATTAAAAAAAGAAAAAGAAGAAGAAAAGAAAAAATCAACATGCAAAAATCAGAAAGTTTTCTTTGTACTAACAATGAACTATCCAAAAAATAAATTAAGGAAACAAACCTAGTTACAGTAGTATAAAAACTATGTAGAAACAAATTTAACCAAGGAGTTAAAAGATTTATATACTGAAAACTACAAACCATTGATAAAAGGAATTGAAAAAAACACAAATAAATGAAAACCTATTTCATGTTCATGGATTGGATGAGTTAATGTTGTTGAAATATCCATACTACCAAAATCAGTCTATGGATTCAATGCAATCTCTATCAAAATTCAATCTATTTCTCAAAGAAATAGAGAAAAAACTCTGAAATTTGTATGGAATCACAAAAGACCCCAACTAGCCAAAGCAATCTTGAGCAAAATGAGCAAAGCCGAAGTCATCACACTACATAATCTTGAAATATATTACAAAGCTATAATAATCAAAACAGCATGGTATTGCCATGAAAACAGACACAGTGACCAATGGAACAGACTGAAGAACTCAGAAATAAACCTGCACATTTATGGTCAACCGATTTTTGGCAAAGATGCCAAAAGCACACAATGGAGAACGGACAGCCTCTTCAATAAATGGTGTTGAGACAACTGGGTATCCACATGCAGAATAATGAAATTGGACCCTTTTCTCACACCATATACAAAAATCAACTCAAAATGCATTAAAGACCACTCTGCTTATCCTTTACTTCCTATTTGTACAGAGTCTGAATATTATCCGAAGGTGAGACCTTAGGATGTTTTCAGGTCTTTTCTGAGCATGTGTCTAGCCCAGGGCATGTCTGTGGCCCTCTAGATTATCCGAAATATGTGGGAGTTTGTTACTTAAAGCATCTCATTCCCTGGCCTTTTCTCCCAAACTTTTAAGTTAGTCTATTATTTGCCCCAACCATTATTCCTTTCCTCGGAAATCAATGACTATTATGTTTTTTCTTTTACATGTTTTTGACAAATGCCACTGCTTACCTGAGCTCTGGGATAGTTCTGTTTTAGGCGAGGTAAAGGCAGGTTCTCTGAGCAGTTTCTCTATGGAACCACCAGGCCGATCTAACAAGCAGCTGCAGTTCTTTGAGGATAAGGTTTGTTTTGCTCTCTCTGTTACTGGGTACCTATACAGAGAATGAAGGCTGTTTTATTCAAGGGCACTGACGAGCTGGGGAGTGGGAAATGAGACTAGGATAAATTAAAATGTCACAAAAATCTGTTTCCAACATTTAGTTGTGTTTTCTTGATCAAGCATTCCTTGGTTGCTGCAAGTTTTGGTTAGTTTTCAGAGTTGTGAGAATATTGCTTCTGAAAGTTTTTTCCAGTTTGTTAATTGCTTGGTGTTCCCCACTGTGCCATTTTCACTAATATCACCTCTAACCATGTCGTTTTAGATTGCTTTCACTGACATAAGTCTTATATCTTAGGAATGAGTCTGTTGGGTTCCCACATGCTCACTGCATTGGAGCTCTTCTCTAACCTTCTCCATGAGCTTTCCATATTCTGCACTTGGCTTTTGTCCCATTCCTAATTTAAACTTCTATTTCTCAGTGGAATTAAAATGGTGCCTAGAAATCCAATTGAAGTATCGTTAATATATATATCGTTTATATATATATCGTTAATACAACTGAAGTATCTTGAATACCTCACTGTTCCCTTCCAACTTCCTCCCCTTTAGTCTTCCCCCAAAGCCAGTCCAACCCAGCTGAACCAAATCAACCAACCAATTAAAACATGGAAAACTCCAAATCCAAATCTATTACTATATTGAAGGGTGGGTGTAGAGATAGAAACGGTAGACAAAGATCACTGGCTGAGTTTGCAAGGAGCTCATTTTTTGCTTGGACTATTATGAAGACTTCTTACTCGGTCATCTGTCCTCTAATATTCATTATTCGTTTCATTGCTTCTTCAGCCTATTCCCCACATCTCAGCCACAGCAATTCTTCATATATCATCATATCATTTAAGAGGCTCCCTACTGACTTTGGAATAGTCTGCAAACATACAAGAGCCTTTCACGATGTGCCCTCTAGCTTCTTTTCCAGGCTAATTTCTCAAACCACACTCCAGCCATTTCTGATCAGTTTCAGTTCCACCAATAAGTCATATTTTTTGTATGTTTCGTCATATTCATCTTTGTAACTGTAGATTCTAAGCACTATGCATGGTACTTTTTTTTTTTTTTTTTTGGAGCTCAGTGACTGTCAAATAAATGTATAAGTACAATGAAGTTTCTATGTGTTCCTGCAGTTTGCAAACAACTAAACTGGCTGGATTTCATTTCATGCTATTTGAGGTCTTAGTATATGAGCTCATGGCATTCATAAAATTAGTATTAATAGATAATTTTAAAAAGTGTCTAGTACGTAACATTGTGCAATAAATGTAGTAGTTCATTTTGGAAGGGATGTTAATGGGATTATTCTCACCATTCAGGACTTATTTATTTATTTATTTTTTTACCCCTAGGAAAGGGCACATATGCTTTTGATGTTTTCGTTTTAGATTAGAAATGAACGGCCATGCATTATAAACACAAAATCTAAAGAGAACATACATGAGTATTTAGTTTCAGGTTAAATTAATAAAATTAAACTGTTAAGAGTGTAGTGCTATGCTTGATATTTACTATGTGATGAAGGAATTTAGAATAAATGGAAGGTGATTTATTAATGTCATTATAGTTAACATGAGGTTGTATTTTATCCAGTGTTATTTGTATGGTGTAACTGTAAACAATATACAAAACATAATTTAACATTAAAAAATTTCTTGATATGCACATGTACCCTAGAACGTAAAGTATAATAATAAAAAATAATTAAAAAAAATTTCTTGATAACTCTCTTCTCTGGTTTCCCAACTTTCCATTTTCTGTTGGTTTTCCCTTTCCAGGAGGCCAACTCTCTTGAGGTCCTGTAGAAGAGGGTCAAGACTTAGGAACCCAGAGACTGGAATTTGCTTGCAGACATCCATAGTTTTTTGTTTTGTAGAGGTTTGTTTTGCTTTTAGCCACAACCATGATTTCAGTTTTTAATTGTTTGTGTGCCTTTTCTTACGACTTGGGCTACTTTACCACTTGGCTACTACTTCCTATAATTTCACAAACCTGACCTTTTACCCAAGTCTTGATCTGATATTCTTATAACATTTAGTTCATTGTACCATTATGTCCCTCGAGTTTTTCAGCTGAGATTCTTTAGTCACTCACCTCCTCCAATGCTGTGTTTCAGGCTTGTCAAGCTCCTCCCTCTTACACTTTCCTCTCATTATGAGGATTTCTAAATTAATTATTTCCACGTTCGTGGGCTAGAACTCAGCTATTTCGCCCCTTTTCCTTGGTGTTGTGAGGCTTCATCATTACTTACATAGCCAGAATATTTTCTTTTCTTAAAACACATGGATTGCATTTTATTCCAGAGAATATGGAGCTTTGAGAACCAGATCTCTTGGTCACTGGTGGCTTTTAAATTAAGTTACCTAAATCTTTCTCTTCGAAACTGACAGTTTTTCCAATCATATGGCAAATGTCCCTTTGAGAAGTGTTCCTTTATTTCAGGTTACTTTAATACATAACCCATCAGGTACATGTTGAAGGTCCAGAGTAGGGTTTGGAAAATGCAGAGTAACTGGGGGTTTACTCCTTCTATTCCAGCCTGATCCACAGCTATGACCCGATGTTCTTTTGTATTTCTCTCACTTCCTCATACTATTTGGATTCTTCATTTTCATTCCTTCTCCCCTATCAGATTTAAGGTTAATTCACTTTCAGGCAGTTGTGGATGAGTTTGAATGTCAAGGCTGCTGTTTGCCTATTTCGAGGGGATGCTTGGAGAAGAGAAATACATTATTTCTGTATCGCTGGTGTCATCTAAGACCAGCCGTGTCTGACAGTAGGACGTGTTGTCTCTCTTCTCGCAACATGTTTTACCTTCCTTCTGCTCCAAGGATCCCAGGTGCCAGGGACCTAAACTTTATTTGTTAATTATAAGTCACAGACCTAGTGGACTGATCTCCATGCAATTATCCTTCAAATGAAATAGACCTGAGCCAGAAAATGATACATCTCCTACTATATTTTCTCATGGGGATGTGGACACACACCCCTTTGATGCTAAAAATGTGTCTAGGAGAATTGTTTATCTTCATTTGCACACAGATAAATTTAGTCCAGTCAGCTTCAGCTCATATTCAGTGTTTAGTGGAAGCACTACGTAGCAAAAGCTTCTACGGAAATCTTAATCCCTTAGCATGGGTTCATAACAGACTACTACTTCCTAATTAGTCAGAGAAATGAAATACTCACATTACATGGTATTGTTGCCATGATTATTTGCTTTTTTTATCCATCCAGTCACTGTATTTGCAAAGACCAACTCCAAGGTGGAGAATATCCACAAATACATTGAAAGCATGATTCCACTTTTCTAAATAAAAAAGAAGAAAATCTATATTCCTCAGAGATCTTCACATTTCTAAAATTTCTAGTAACATATAGATAACATAAAATTGTAATAAATGTAGAAAACAGAAAACTCATCTATAATACTAGTACCACAACCTTAATACAATGTGATGATTTTGTCTGTATATAAGATAATACTGTAGTAACAAACACTTGTTGAGCACTTATTAGATGGTTAGGAATTTGCGTTAAATGCTTCATATGCATTATTTCATTGGGTTCACTCAATCCTTTGTGGTAGGTAGCATTATTATTCTCACCTTAGAGTAGAAGAAAATGAGACTTGGGTAAGTTAAAATAGCAAAATTAGTACTACTGCATGTTGGAGTTGTTTAGAACTTGGTTCTAGCCCCCTTTTCTTCGCTTACTCTACTCTCTCTCTTGGGTGACTTCCATCCTAGTTCTGGCAGACTTATAAGATTGTAATTTCTGTTTTCTCATTTATGTATTTCTATAACATTGTTATAGTTGAAAATAGAACACTTTTGCACTGTTGGTGGGACTGTAAACTAGTTCAACCATTGTGGGAGACAGTGTGGCGATTCCTCAAGGATCTAGAACTAGAAATACCATTTGACCCAGCCATCCCATTACTGGGTATATACCCAAAGGATTATAAATCATGCTGCTGTAAAGACACATGGACACGTATGTTTATTGTGGCACTATTCACAATAGCAAAGACTTGGAACCAACCCAAATGTCCA